TGCACAGTGCCGCTTAAATCCATACTTCATAATTTCTCAGAGACAGTGTTAGGCAAAGACTCTATTATTATGTGCTTCGTTTTGGTGTAGAGAACGGATAAATCGGGTCCACATTCACGTGAAGGCTGCAGGAGAGGGTATGAGTGATGGCCTCTGCGGCTTTTCCAGCCCCCACCGAGGTTCAGGGTGTGAGGGACAGCTGTGTGCTGAGCAGGGCTTGGGGCTTCTCCCCAGTGGTGGCTGGAGACTGAATACTGAATACTGGTCTATTCTTTGGGTAATAATTTATTTTAAAAAGTACTTGGTATAAGCCGTGTGTGTATGTGTGTGTGTGTGTGTGTCTGTGTGTGTATATTAGCTTCTTCAGTAATAATCTGGAATCCACAATCCAGGAGTGGTGAGCTAGCATCTGATGGCCTGTTTTCAGGAATTGATATTCCAGAGGTCCCTGTAGTAAGCATTTTAAATATCATGACGTAAATCTAACCAGGAGGCTCAGGAGTGAATGTATAGGCCATTTAGAAATGGGTTTTTGTTTTTCGTAAAAACAAGCGGAGTTAAAGACATGTGGTTGACTTCAAAAATATTACAGGCACGCCACCCTTGCATGAGATGGTATAAGCACCCAGCAAGCCAGGGACCTGTCACTGTTGGTCCCGTGTTCTAGGCCCAGCACTCCGTTCAGCCAGGCGTCCCCTCTGCTGGTGCAGGCTTGGGTCCTTCTGCCTCCGAGTTGGCCCGGGTGAAGCTTTCATGCAGACGCTCCTCTGAGTGCCTGGTGATGAGAGGGGGCCTCCGCCCAGCACAGGGGAGCCGGCTGTGGGGCCACTGTGGGCGCCTTTGTTAACGTTTTATACATGTTGAAGACCCCCCTGAGACTTACTGGGAATTAATTAAGCAAACCACATGAAAGATTTAGGGATGGTGTGATGTATACCCCAACCTGCTTCTAATAGATGGAAGTCACTAATATTCTAAAAAGAATGGGGTCAGGCATGGTGGCTCACACCTGCAATCCCAGCACTTTGGGAGGCAGGTGGATCACCTGAGGTCAGGAGTTTAAGACCAGGCTGGCCAACATGGTAAAACCCCATTTCTACAAAAAATACAAAAATCAGCCGGGCACGGTGGTGGGTGCCTGTAATCCCAGCTACTCAGAAGGCTGAGGCACAAGAATCACTTGAACCCGGGAAGCGGAGGCTGCAGTGGACCAAGATCACACCACTGCACTCCAGCCTGGGCGACAGAGAGAGACTCTATCTCAGAAAGGAAAAAAAAAAAAAAAGAATGGGGCCAGATAGAGTGGCTTTCCAGCCCTTCAGGAGGCTGAGGAAGGGTGATCACTTGAGGCCATGCGTTTGAGAACAGCCTGGGCAGCATAACGAGACCCCATCTCTACAAAAAAATTTTTAAAACTTAGCCAGGTGTGGTGGTTCGTGCCTGTGGTCCCAGCTGCTTGGGAGAGTGAAGCAGGAGGATCGCTTGAGCCCAGGAGTTTGAGATGGTGGTGAGCCATGATGGAACCACTGCACTCCAGTCTGGGCAGCACAGCAAGAGCATCTCCAAACAAAGTAATACGGGAGAATAAGGCAGGTGCTGAATGAAGAAACTGTAGCAGGCACCGTCTGGGAAAGAAGTAAGGCTGCCTGTGGAATCTTGTTCCAATTTTTTTTTTTTTTTTTGAGACAGAGTTTCGCTCTTGTTACCCAGGCTGGAGTGCAATGGCGCCATCTCGGCTCACCGCAACCTCCGCCTCCCGGGTTCAGGCAATTCTCCTGCCTCAGCCTCCTGAGTAGCTGGGATTACAGGCACGTGCCACCATGCCCAGCTAATTTTTTGTATTTTTAGTAGAGACGGGGTTTCACCATGTTGACCAGGATGGTCTCGATCTCTTGACCTCGTGATCCACCCGCCTCGGCCTCCCACAGTGCTGGGATTACAGGCTTGAGCCACCGTGCCCGGCCTGTTCCAATTATTAAAACAAGTGTCTGTTATCCCAGCACCCACGTCTGTTGAGCACTTACCAGGCTGCGACCTGCTTCCACACACGGCATCTTCCTTCATCCTCAGAACAGGCCCAGGGGAAACAGGCAAGTCAGACTGGGCTTCACTTCTCTCACACAGACAAGGAGCGGAGCCCAGAGGTGCACTGAGACTCCCTCAAAGTCATCTGCAGGTTGCGGGTCGTTTCCAACCAGCACCCAGGTTTCATGGCTCCTCAGCTAAGAGTCTCAGCGAGGGCTGAGATGCGTGAGAATCCCCAGAAACGTGTTTCCAGTGGATAGATGCCCCTATGTGTGTAACATCCTGTTCCCTTTGATAGCTGAATCTTCACCTGATTTTGTGCCCAGCGCCGTGTTAACCACAGAGGGCCATCAAAAGTGTCCCTACCCTCCCAGTACTAGTGTTGAAGGACACATGCACATGGCCTGCATTAGAATGTGATGAGGTATATGCTAAGAACCTGGTGCATCTTACAATAGGGACACTGTCCCATGTTGGAGATTCTTTTTTTTTTTTTTTTTTTGAGACAGAGTCTCACTCTGTCATCTGGCTGGAGTGCAGTGGTGTGATCTCAGCTCACTGCAACCTCTGCCTCCTGGGTTCAAGTGAGTCTCATGCCTCAGCTGCCCAAGTAGCTGGGATTATAGGCTCATGCCATCACACCCAGCTAATTTTTGTTAATTTTTGTAGAGACGGGGTTTCCCCACACTGGCCAGGCTGGTCTCGAACTCCTGATCTCCAGTGATCTGCTTGTCTGGGCTTCTCAAAGTGCTGGGATTCCAGCCGTGAGCCACCACACCTGGCCAGAGCTTCTTAATGTATATTTGTAGAATGAATAAATCGGTGAATCAGTGACATAAGAGAGGAAGAGATGACTCTATCTGGGGCCATCAGGGAAGGTTCTAATCATCATTCAGATTGGACATTTGAAAGCAGGGCCACTCTTGAGTGTGGAAAATGCCTCGTGATGTTTTCTTCTTATAGCTATTTCACTTCCAGGAATTTATCCCTAGGGACTTGTCAGAGAGCTTTAAAAAAAGATTTCTATTCAGTATGTTTGTTTATGTTCAATAGCGTAACTGTTAATTGTGAAAAAGTGGAAATGATCTGACAGTCCCAGAGCAGGGAATAGTCGTGGTGCTAAATGAGATCAGTCAATCTACATGGTGGAATATTCTGCAGGCACTAAAAGTCCTGCTGTCAGAGCGCACGTGCCGCGTGGTAGGATTATGAAAGGGGAAAAGGCTTCCAAAAGGACCACATCCAGGAAAACCCGCAATGTGTAAAAGCGCACACTCGTGTGTGTGTGTCTATAAAATAATAGTGCTTCTCTCTGGGGTGAGATTAGGTAACTTCTTCATTTTCAATTTCCATATTTTCAAAGTCCAGTTTTAAAAAGCAGAAGCCTTTCTCTCACTGGGTCTTCAGGGACTTTGGGGGTTTGTAGATCTGGCATAAAGCCCTTTATTTTGAGATTTTCTTCTGAGCACACAAAAGGTGTGTCATTTATACATCTGCACCAGAACCTGCTGGAGAGGGGCACAGAGGCTGGGCTAAGCAGAGGCAGTGGAATTATTTTAAAATGAAAAACAAAACAAAGGACATGCTGCTTACGCTGCAGGCAGGCAGACCCCTAAGTAGCTTCCTCAGGCAGCAGTGAGGTGGCCGCCCAGGGGACAGCCCACCCCTCTTCCACCCCCCTCAGCTGGCGGGATGTTCATGGTGCGCTCTTCCCAACCTCTTGGCAAATGCACTTGTTAAACAGCCAGCCGCAGGGAGGAAGCTGGAAGAGTCAGGGGTGCAGGGGAGTGAGGGGGACTGAATTTCCACCAGAGAAATAAGCACCCTGCAGTGACACTGCCGTCTCCTCCCTCCCTGCCTCGCTGCCCTCTCAACCTCCTGCTTAAGGAGACTCTTCTGGACGTGAGGCCCGGCCAAGGGCCCACGTTCTAGGAAGAGGGGCCCCCAGTGAGAGCTCACCCTGCCCGGTGGGGGAGCATGTTCTCGTGTCTGTAGCAGGGTTCCTGTGTGCCAGCCAGGCTTGCCAACTTCACTGAGTTCTGGGAGCAGAGAACTGAGAGTTTTGGACTGGGAGGAGTGAGGGTGTTGGAAACAATTCTGTAATAGATGCTGCCTCTCCGTTCTCTCTTCTTCTTCAAGAAAATGATCAGTTTGGCAGCACCCTCACTTGCTCTCCTAGTTGAAGACAGTATGTTTAGAAAACCCTTATGGCTTTTGCTCGGTTGACCCAAAGGAAGCCCAAGTAGGTCTTGTCCAGGATTTGGGGAGAAGAAAAGCAGGGAGCCTGGGAGGTGTGCCTGTCCAGGCAGGCATGGCAGAGCAGGAGACAGGGACGCAGAGGGGTCTTGCCACGAGTGAAGAGTGTTTGCTTTGCGTGGCCACCCTGCCCTGCGTCTCAGGGCTGTGGAGCACCCAGCTGATGGGACGGATGTGGCACCAGCCCCTAGGAAGGTCCCTCATTGCTGCCCAGGGGGAGGTGTCTGCAGTGGAAGGAGACTGTCCTCAAGGGAAAGGGCTTCCCTAGAAGATCTTTTCCTGGTTCTGTCTGTTTTTGCTTTCTTGTCTGAATGTGCCCAGTTACAACTGAGACAAACACTTCTGTGACGGGGGCCCGCATCCAGGCTCAGGCAGTCTGCAGTGGCTGCAAAGTCCCTCATTTTGTGTGAGCCCCAGAAACGCTGGACTGAGGGAGGGCAACAGTAGATAGGACATTATCAACACAGCTTCTCCACACTTTTCCCAGTGTCCGGCTCTCAGGGTGCAAGTCCAGGGACCTGGGGACTTAGCTGACACCCCACTCACTCCTGGCTGAGCTTCAGAACTTGTTGGGGGCCCAATGGGAGGTCCTGAGAGGCCTGGGGGGCTAGACTGGGCCAAGGTGTTGCTGTGGTGAGAAGCACCGGCCCCCAGGTCTTGAATCATTCTCCCCAGGTACAGAAGGAGAACCTGGATACAGAGGAATTCACGACTCTGGGTAGAATAAAAGTGAACATTTAATGCCACCATCGTTTGATTCTTTTAAACACCAGATTCTTTTCTGACAACATTTTACACCTCATATGCCACAAAAAGAGATCGTAGCCAGCAAACAATGTCTTTATACTGGAAATGCCACACAGCTTAATGGATTCATGTCACCAGTTTGTGAGAACCATAGCTCTTTTTTCTGGACTGTTCTCCAGGGAGCCTGCTCATACATTTATCATGATCAAGCCAACACCTAACTTTTATATATCTATGCAAAGGCCCATGTACAAAAGCAGCCTGCAAGGGGCTGCTGGGACCCGCCCAAGTACAGAAGAGTTGAATTTCTGACTTTAACAAATGAGTTTTATTGAAGAATTTGAACAGCAAACACTTGTGAACTAATAATTTTTAAAATGGCACCAATCACCTATCTGGTTAAACAGTGGATCTCAGACAATAACATTCAGCACTACCATTGAATCGTCGAACAAGATTCCATGAACTTATTTACGAATTTGCTGTTTCTGGCACAATAAATGCACTTGGGCAGGCCCTGTCTCCCATTTTCAAACGGGCCCATTTCTAAGATAAGCATATTTATATACACATACATACATGACCAATCATGGAATCGGAGACCTAGAGCTCCAAGGAAGCACAAAGATCATCTAGCACAGCGTCTTCATTTTACAGGTTAGAGAGCCTGTTCCAGAGAAGCCAGGTACCAGGTCCCGGCCAGGACCTGTGTCACAGCAGAGCCAGAACTCAGGTGTTCGTCCTGTGTCTTTCTCCGTGTCATGTGCCTCCTGTGCACACGCACCCATGTGTGTGCACACACGTTAGATGAATGACGTGTGTGTTCATGTCGGCGCAGACCTGGTGCAGCACAATCTAATGGGAAGAATCCAGGCAGCTGGACTCGGGTCCCAGTTTTGCTATAAAACTACTCTGAACTTGGGCCGTGACTACTGACTTCAGTTTCTTCATCTGTAAATGATTATCCCCAGCTCCGAGGCAGAGCTTTAATTTCTTCAAAGCACTTCCATCACTTACACCATTTTCTCTTTATGCTGCCCCAGAAGGGCAGCTGTTCCGACCCCCCGTCTTCCACTTGGGAACCTGAGGCCCAGCAAAGTGAAGAGACTCGCCCCAGGTGGCAGAGCTAGTGACAGAACCAGGCTTGGTGACCCAGTCTCCTTGTTCCTAGCTCAAGGCTTTTGCTCCTAAGTTCAGCCACCTCTCAAATAAGACTTCTGACCCTTGACACTCAGGAATCCAGGAGGGGACAGGATGCCTTAAGGTTGTAAGACTCACTACAGTGCTTTGGTTTTTCCAGAAAAAAAACAACACAGGTACTATATATATCCAAGCTAAGGAACTCTGGTTGCTTTCCCAAACCCCCTTCAGCAGCACCATGGGCGGGACGGGAGTCGTGGGTAAATGTAGGGAACTAATACTGTCAGCACTTTCCTCAGAAATTTAATGTTGAACCAGGAGGAAGAGGTTGGATCCTCTTCCACGCAAGCCTGTGGGAGTGGATTTCCAAGCCCATTCTCATCAAATTCAGAACGAAGGGATCTTTCCTATCCAGCTACTTACCACAGAAACAGCTTAGATTTTGAACTCAGCCCTGTACATTGAAGATTGGGCCCTAATCCCTAGTCTCTTGATGTATCTGTCCTTCCCTATCCCCCAGCCCATGTCTCCATGAACAGACTTTGCTAGAGTGAGAAAAATGTAGAACAAGATAGCCACAGACAGATCCAGCAAACCTCCACTTCAACGCATAGCACTTGGGTAGCATTTCCAACCTTGACGTATAAACAAAGAACACAAGCAATGCTGTAAGACAGCATCCTGTGTTTATACATAAATTATAATGTCTTCAGAAATGGACTATGACAATGTGGGCTGTTAGCAGCTTGGCGAAGCTTTGTCAGTGCTGAAGGTAATTGCTGTGTGTGCATGACATAGATGTGTGTGGCATTTCAGCACACGCCTCCACACGTGGACACTGGGAACCACTGTGTTTAGAGAACACGGATTGTATCAGTGAAGGCTCGATACTGCCCGTGCCCCACTATGTCCAATATTATGACATCACTGCAGGTTCTGGGTAGGGCCTCCAAAAGCAGAATGTGTTTGTTTAGGGAGGGATAAATTAGCTTCTAGGAATTTTTAGGAAAAAACATTTTTGATGCAGTCACTTCTCCTGGATTGGAATTATGCTAGCGTTATTATGGAAATCATGAACAGGCTGTAATTTTAAAATGTGTCCCTTTGTCAGGAAGACTGCTAAGTGATACACTTTATGAGTTGTTACCCACCAGTGTTGACAGATACTTTCTGGAGATGGAAAAAGGAGATATTAGAATCCAAAGAAACACTGCATTCCTACCACCTGTTCCCCTAGCCTCCCAAATTTGAGACCCATTTACATGCATCTGTCACACTGAACGCCCAGCTCTGTTTCATTTGGCGCAGAGAAAAGTGGGCTGCGCTGGCCTTTCCACCCCACCCAGAAGACTCTCATATGGTGGCATTGAAGAGTGTCCCTCAGTGAGGGGACAGCTGGGCCACACACCCTGGCAGCAGCCTGGAGGCCCAGGGACAGTGGCAGCAGACAGCTTAGCCTCAACTAATAGCAAACAGGACTTTCAACCTCTTTCTTACTGGCAAGGTCTCAGGGTTTAAGACATACTGTCATCAGAAGCGAGGAACTTTTTGTGTCTGAGCTCCAGTAATGCCTTATGAGTCCAGCAGGAAAGGACAGTGAGTAAAGGCGGGAATCCTTCTGTTTTTAGTTTGGAAATCAACTCATCTTTAGTCATTGGTTTTACAGTCTAAAATCCTTTGTGGAATAAGAAACCTAAAAACACCCACTATAATCAGCAGTGGCCACTGGTCTAGGTGGCTGAGTTTGCATTGAACAAATGTGCAGACCCGTCAGCCTTACTTTCTGTCCACAGAAGGTGGCTGCTGTACAGGGACATGAGACACACACCCAGGTGGGCACAACTGCATTTTTTGTCAACATAAACAGAACTCTGAGATGTTTTTAACAGAAATCTGAGCAGCAGGCACGAGCTTTGTAGGTGTGTGTAACATGTTCTGAACCTCCACCCTGGATGGTAGATGCGGCCGGACTGAAGTCACTCTGCCTTATAAGAATGTATTTGACTTCAAGTTTAAGGCTAATTTGCAACAAACCAGCTGAGTTCCTGCTTGCGGAATTCCCCATGCTGCCACGCATGGCTTTTTATCCCAGCTTCTCACACGAGGAGCCCTTCTCAGGCTCAGGGCTCCTGGTGTGATTCCCACCTTCGTCACGACAGGACACATCTCTGCATTTGCATCTTCACACTTCCCCCATGTTAAGGATGGCAGTTGGCAATTAAACGCCAGGTAGGGTGTTCTGATTTCAAATCCGGAAGAGATGGAAGTTAGAGACAGCTTCCTCATCATGTCAAGGGGAGTTCAAGGACAAGAAGATCAAAGTTTGCAGCCCTTAGCTGGGGCCTGTAAGCCCATGATAAAGGACACCACCGCTCCCTGGCAGCGGGCAGCCCCATCATGAAATGCAATGCGGACTTACTCCCAGGGAAACGATATCACCATTGCCCTCTGTGAGATCTTAGTTTTGCTCCGTGAGATCTTATAGTTTTGCTCTGTGAGATCTTAGTTTTGCGCCATGAGATCTTATAGTTTTGCTCCGTGAGATCTTAGTTTTCCTCCATGAGATCTTAGTTTTGCTCCGTGAGATCTTAGCTTTGTGCCGTGAGATCTTAGTTTTGCGCCGTGAGATCTTAGTTTTGCTCCGTGAGATCTTAGTTTTGCTCTGCTGCTAAGGCTACTGCCTCACACTCATGTATTAGGAGCAGGGGTAAGGAGGACAGGTTGTAGACAAGGAAATAAGACCTGTGCATCTAAATGTTAATTTCAAGTCAGCGTTTTTTTTCTAGTCCCTTCATTTGTGGGTAATTTTAGAAATGGGCTCTTTGACGTTCCCCTTGCCTTTGGGTTACCCATCACCAAAACCGAAAGGAGGCCTGGAGCTCTCTCACTTTGGTCACTGTCTAAGGCATCCTTCAGCTGTTGGGATGCTTCAGAATGGTTGGTCCAAACTCCTTGCTCCATCCTCACTGTAGTCAATGTATGGGCAGAGATAGGAACAAGCCCATCGTAAAGTAAAATGCATGATTTCTTCATGCGGTTTCTCAATATTGGTAAATTAAGATGTCTGCAGCTTATTTAGGTCAAAAAAAGGAGAAGGAGAGAGAGAGAACAGACATCAGTGTGGCGTGTTCTCTGTCACACGGCCTGGGGATCCTGCAAGGGGTTCTGTGACTTGCATCTTGGTAAGAGAACTCTTGGTTTCACCTTTTGTTATAGCATAGAGTTGCTACAAATGGATAAAAGCAGACGTAGGCAGGAGGCAAGCCGAACGCCACTCCCCCAGGAAGGACCCCTCTGGTTTCCGTCCAGGAAGGGCACCAGGCCCTGTCCTTGGCCCGCTAGAGTCAGGGCAGCATGGCAGCCTCAGGGGAAAATGTGGCAGGGTGAACGCCAAGCCTCCTGATGACTAATCAGATGAGTTTGTTTCCAACAAAAACAGAATATGCACCTTTGAAAAGCTCCAATTAAAGGCTTTTCATGAAGTACATGTTTGAAACCAGCAACCAGGAGATGCCCAATGGAAACAAAGGAGCAGCTTCCCTTCTGGCCCAGAAGCCCCAAGGGTACTTCTGTGAAGGAAGCCCCCTTACACAGTGCTGTGAGGCTGCAGGTGAGCCCAGAGCCCAGGACTGTCCTGCAGAACGGGGGGAGGGTAGGAGCTTAGGGAGGTCCTGCTTCCCAGGGCAATAAACTTGTCAGACTTGGGAGCTGCGCAGAGGGGAGAAGGAGCCATTCCAGGGCAGCCTCTCGCCGTCGTCCAGCCTGTTCCACTAGCACATTTGGGCCTGTCTCCTGTTCACATAGGAGCAGACGCTGACGGAAGTGCAAAGCCAGACTCATGACCCAGGGAGCTGGCTTCAAAGCACAGGAGCCAACAGGGCTACCTGAACCCTGCTCTGGTCACAAAGGATCAGGTCGTGTGAAGCTCACGGGGCTTCAGTCCCCATTTACCGAGCAGCTCAGACGTGCTGCTGTTTAGCCCGCTGTGTGGGCTGCAGTGTCCAGAGACACACTGACCAGGAAATGCAGTGGGTTCTTTTCCCTTTGGGGAGTGGCTAGGGCTGAGTTGTTGATTAGTGAAGACAGCCTAGCTTGCAAATAGGCTCATGAAGATATGCTGCATTTGAGGGCGAAAGGGGACCATACTCTGCAAACCCCTAAGCACCGTCCCACCTGTGAAGGCTGCAGGGACTCTTGGATTCTGGGCCACACTCCCAGCACCACAGCTTTCATCAGGCGAATCCCTCCACCACTCTGTACCCCAGGTGTCCATCACTACAATGGGTATAATAATTCCTAAGGGAATTGTTAGAGGGAGGAACATGTGAATTTGAGGTCCTGAGCTGTTGGGAGCCAAGCCCTGGACACCCACAGTCAGTCACTCAACTAGGTTCTGCCTTTCCAGGGCTGTGCGAGTTGGTTATGGAGGGGAAGCGCTCTCTCTGCCTTTGGGTAGAGGCAAAGGCGGAGAGGACAAGCCTGTCCCTTGGTATAGAGGCTTTGGGACACAAGAGAGCCGAAATCCGGGTACTCTGGACAACAGACAAGTCCTACAGTCTCAAGAATCCTTGTTCTAATTGAATACAGTTGGAGTCTCTGAGTATACGCACCTGACAAGGTCTCTCAGCTGGGAAAACCCACTTTAATAAATTCACAACACCAGAAAATAAGAAAGAAATATGGCTCTGTTGAATTGGTTCAAGCTTTCCTTCAAGTCTTTGGAATAAAAATGAGTATGAATTTTGAGGGCCATAGAAACTGTGGATCTGTGCAACCATGTGTGTGAGGACCAAAGGGGGGACCTCCAGGGACAGGGAGGCCCCAGGTGGCAAAGGACTCCTCTTCCACAGCGCTGCAGGTCCGTCTCCTCTCCTGTTTTCTACCACGCCTGCCCCGCATCAACCCTCTGGGTCTGCCCTGACCATGCTGCTTGTGGGATGTGACATCAAGGTCACCTGCTGCTGCGAACCTGCTTCGGAAGCGCACACACTGGCTCGTGCCAAGGAAGTCTCCATGTTGTGAGTGGCCTTACCAGAATAACCATAGAGGACAGTTAACATTTATTCATAAGCAATACTGATTGATTAGGAAATAGCTCTACAAACACAACTTACTTAGAAACAGCAAGTCAGAAATAGGATAAAACACCAAGAGAAAACGGGCTGTAAATATGTTTCAAAAATGTTTTGTTGTTTTCATCTTGACTAGCACCATCTGTACACAAGAAAGTATGAACATAAACGTTTGGATAATAAAGATTTGCAAGGCACTTCATCCGTCCCTCTGGGTCTTTGTTGTTTTGTGTTCACGTTCCCCAGCAATCCCACGTCCACCCCACTCCTTTCTCACGAACGCAAGAGAAGAGTGAGGTCTCTTTCGCTCGCAGTTCTTATGTACAAACAAGGTCTGTAAAGGTCCTCAAAGTGCTATTTCAGTCTCACAGGGCGTGGACATCCCTCGGGCTTCCCACTTTCTTCTCCTTCCATGGGGGTTTGGCATTTGCACCCTTCCTACAGAAAACAAAAGAAAACTCGCCTTCCGCTCAACTCTCACTCCAGACTTCCCACCAACCTTCATCCTCATTCATTGTCTCTGATGCTCCGGCACGGAGGGCCGAGGGGCGTGCGACATCTCTGAAGTCCCAGGGAGCAGGGGGGCCGCTAGGACAAGCGTCTGGCTCTCTACCGGCGCCTGGAGGTGACGTCAAAGCAGGTGACCATCATGAGGTGGGCCTTGCAGAAGTAGACGCGGCTCTCCAGGCGCTCTGTCACGCACTCCAGTGCCTCCAGGTACTCCAGGGAATCCAGCTCCCAAACCTGCTCCAGGTCAACTGCAGAAGAGAAAGGGCCTGATGGAGAGCAGAGCAGATGGGGCGAGAGGCACCTCCCGACGGCTCAGCCGCAGCTGCCACCCCCAGTCCACCCCTTGCGTCTGACGTGCCTGCCTCAGGCACCTGCAAGCGTTCCCTCCTGCCCGATGCTCAGCCTCTTTTGGATGGAATGGGACACTCTACCAGTGTTTAAATCCTCAATGTTTTTGAGATTATACTGAGCAATAAGGTGAATTTCTAGCTCCCCACCTCCGGCTGTCTCCATCCCAGGGTTTGAGAACTCTGCAGCACTATCAGCCATCAAGTAAATACTTCTTCAAGCTGAGGTGGCGAGAGTCCCTCCCTTGAGTGACATTTAGACCTCTGCCGCCTCCTATGAAAGGATGATTCTGGATTCTAACCCGATGTCTTTCCTGACGTTCAGACCTGCACAGAGTGAAAAGTCTGCCCTTCAAAGCCTGAAGAGCAAGTATCTGGGATCACCCCTTCTGGCCTCAAGTCCCCTACTTTGTCCAGAGGTGGCTGGGCAGAGGGCTGGGCTGCCTGGCGCAGGGTCCCAGTATGAGGAGGGAAGGCAAGGACAGCAGCCAAAGGTGATGGGATGGCCCTGGAACCCAATGCCAGGGGCTAGCTTTGGGGCCGGCACAGTGTCCTTCAGAGTGACTTGAGTGGTCGTTCCTACCTGCCTGCCTTGAGTTGCTGTGAAGAAGAAAATAAAAATGAGATAATGAGCATGAACTTGATTTGAAATCTGTGACGCGTTATGGAAGCCGTGGGATGAGAGTGGAAGCTGTCTTCTTTTTGCAGACGAGGTCCCTGAGCTCTGGACAGTGACGTGGCTCATGAGGTGACATGGTTAATCAACACTAGAGTGGGAAAGAGACTGAGGGCCCTGAATACCAGTTTAATACTTAAAAACCAAAACAAAAAAGCAAATGAGCCATCATTCTGTGGCCACATCAGGCTCCATTACTGGACAACCTTGAAACTGGCACCAGAACGAAAAGCTAAAACTAAAAATGACTCTTTCCAAGCCCGTCCCCTGCCTCTCGCCCACAGGGGACAGCCAGCATGCAGCCTCATTGATTCTTTTTTCATTAATGTTTTCAATCCATCTTAAAGAAACAACCTCTCTTTCCCCTTTCATGTCGCTTTCTGTTCATTTTCTTTCTCAGCATCAAAACTCTGATTTCTGACATGTACAAAGACTAGAAGGAAGCAACTGTTTCCTGGAAGCATCTAAACAAACACACACGTATTGATGTTTAAGCGTGCTCCCATCCTGGGAAAAAATATGACTTTGTAAGAGGAAGATAATTTTCAACTCTGCCTTGGGCATAAACAGTTCTTGAAAAATAAAGTGTTAATGAAAACAGCAAAAATGACGGAGAACTGACTGCAAGGAGGCCCGTAGGATCCTGAAGTGGCCAGGGATTCCTGAAACAAGGAATGGGGTGTCTGGAGCAGGGAGACGAACAAGCAGATGCCAAGGGCAGACACCCGCGTCCTCACCCATCTGCCCTCCCCATCAGTGCCTTGGAGGACCAGTTCATGTCTTCGTTCAAATTTCTAACAGAAGATCCAACTCAGTGCATCATGAAAGCAGGCACAAAGGAAATGCCTCCTTCTTTTTTAAGATGGGCTCACTCTGTCCCCCAGGCTGGAACACAGAGGCGCGATCTCGGCTCACTGCAACCTCCACCTCCCCAGTCCAAGCGATCCTCCTGCCTCAGCGTCCTGAGTAGCTGGGATTACAGGCACCCCCCACCATGCCTGGCTAATTTTTGTACTTTTGGTAGAGATGGGGTTTCGTCATGTTGGCCAGGATCATCTTGAACTCCTGGGCTCAAGTGATCCGCCCACCTTGGCCTCCCAAAGGGCTGGGATTACAGGTGAGAGCCGCCGCAGCCGGCCAGGAAGCGTCTCCTGTTGAGAATGTGGATGTTGTTGAACTTGGGGATGATGATGGTAATTACTGCCAGGTCCTGAACTCTAATCCTGGGCCAAGCAGCACAGTAAGGACCAACAGGAGCTGGCTTACACCTCACAACCACCCTGTGCTGTAGTCACCATCATTGTTCCCATTTCACAGCTAAGAAGATCAAGGCTCAGAGAGTTAAGTGTCCTACCCAAGGTCCCCAGCCAGTGTGTGAGAAAGCCAGCAGCCAAAGCACGTCTGTGTGGCTGTACTCACAGCTGCAAGTGTTGTAACTGAAGACTACAGGATACTCCATAGACTTCCCCAAGAATCCTGTGAGTACTGCGGGAAATGCTACCGCCTCCTTCCTGCAGAGAAGCAGCTGCTGGGAGGCTGAGGTTCATGTGGCCGGCACAGCCGGGAGGCCTACAGTTCCTGCCACTTTCTTCCACCCAGGACCATTTCACCCCAATATGCTTTCAACCAGCTGCTCTGGCTTCCAGCCTCCACCTGCAGACCCCCCGCACTGGCCAAGGAAGACTGGAAGAGGGAAGGGCATTACACAGGAGGCCCGCTGGGGCAGAGGGAACCTGAATGGCAGGACTGTATTTTACCCCCCAGACTGAGTCTTCCAGCACTGCCGCCTGTATCAGTGCAATAGCTGGGACCAGACTGAAGTTTTATTTTGTGCTAAATGGAATGGTCAGGGCCAAATAAATAAGAGACAATTGAATCCGTCTTTCAAAGATAGCAAAATTGTCCTGAATTGTTACAAGATGGTTACGGTCATCTTGGGCTTTCCATTCAATGGAAAGAGCACTGTGGCTGTGGTGGTGTTATGATGTTTTCACTCATAAACATGTTCCTTGCTTTCTGGGTTCTCCATGTGGCTTCTCTAGGATTGTACACACTATCCTCTGAAGGGCTCTATAAATTCTTGTCTATTTCAGGCTAGATGTGCAGGGTGATTTTGTGGCTGAGGAGCAGATGTGTCACACAGCCTTCATGTCTGGGTGATCTTCTGCCCCGTGCAGGGGGAGAAATCTCATTTTCAGGTGCCTTGGACTGAGACCCGTAAGAAATAATCTTGCAAGAGCGATATTCACCACCCCTCTGCTGCCCCAGCGCCTCCCGCCCACCCCCAGGGGAGCAGAGCTGATCAGCTCGCTCCTGCAGCTGTGACCAAGGATGTAGACGCAGCCTGTGTCGCTGTCACCCTGGGCTACGTGCCAGGCCTGCTGAGCAGGTGGGCCCTGAGTCACGACGATGGGACGGAACCCAGGCCTTACATTCACTGAGCCACTTGTTGGGATCCAGCATCAGATACTGCTTGGTTGTCTCCAGCTCCTTCATCAGCCACTCGTACTTGGCGCGGACCTCGGCGATCCTCTGCTGGCGGTGCTCCAGGATTTTCAGCTTTGCGTTGAAGCACAGGACCTCCTAGCACACAGACAGAGGAGGAGGTGGGGTGGACAGGAGCAAAGGCCCTTCTGCTCACACCCAGCCCATGCCACAAGGAGCACTTATGAGTGTCGTAGACGGAAACTGGCTAGAGACGTACGAGAGGCCTAGGTGATCCCAGCCAAATTTCTGCCTCGACAGACCAGTCAGTGCAGACAACTCACAAGGCAGGACTATTACAGACCATTCTTAAACCGGGAAAGCAGGTGGTCGGTGTTTCAAGATGGACAAAGGCTGGTTAAGATGGGAAACCTCAAAGATCTTTGAGCCTCCACTCCCTGGCTGTGGAGTTAAAACATTTCAGAAGGAGAAACACGGGGCTCTCTCCAAAGCCTCTGTCAAAGGCCCGTTGCTGGGACAGAAGCCCGCTGGGAAGGCTGGGTCTGAGCCATCTTCCCCAGGGCCCCACCTGGCACCTGCTCAGGCTTGCCACCACGTGGGGGTGGGGAGGGAGGAGGCTGCCTCACCTTGCTGGTGCCCCCTCGCCGCCGCTGCAGGCGCTCCACATCATCGATTTCATAGACTTTAATCTCAAAGGGCTCCCCAAGGCCCCTCTGGCTGCTGCGCAAGGGGCCGTCCACCCAGCGGATGCCCGTGCTGTTGGTGGGTTTTCTCACCGGGGAAGAGGTGTCCAGGGACAGTGCTGGGATGAGCCTCCGTCTCTGAGAACCTAAGGAGGAGATTAAACCCAAAGAGGAGTTAATCTTTCTGAATGTAAATCTTTTTTTTTTTTTTTTTTTTTTGAGACAGGGTCTTACTCTGTGGTCCAGGCCGGAGTGCAGTGGTATGAACACAGCTGACTGCAGCCTTGAATTTCTGGGCTTAAGCAATTCTCCTGTCTCACCCTCCTAAGTAGTTGTGACCACAGGTGCATACTGCCATACCCAGCTATTTAGAACATTTTTTTGTGTGTGGTAGAGACAAGGTCTCACTGTATTGCCCAGGCTGGTCTCAAACTCCTGGCTTCAAGTGATCCTCCCACCTTAATCCCCCAAAGTGCTGGGATTACAGGTGTGAGCCACTACACGTAGCCTGAATTTCAATTTTTTTTTTTTTTTTTTGAGACAGACTGCAATGGTGGCATCTTGGCTTACTGCAACCTCCGCCTTACGGGTTCAAGCGATTCTCCTGCCTCAGCCACCCAAGTGGCTGGGATTACACGTGCCCACCACCATACCCAGCTAATTTTTTGTGTTTTTCATAGAGACAGGGTTTCACCATGTTGGCCAGGATGCTCTTGAACTCTTGACCTCAAATGAACCACTTGTCTGAGCTTCTCAAAGTGCTGGGATTACAGGCGTGAGCCACCGTGCCCGGCCAAAATTTCACTTTTTAGAGCCCAGACCTTTATCTTGTATATACACATACACAGTTGCATTTAGCTCACAGCAAAGTGCAGGCCCCCAACTAACGAAACTAAGAAACTCCAACCCACTGGAAGAAAGCAAGTGTGTCTCCTTACTGTCTAAGACATTCACCATGGGAAACACCAGATCATAGTTCACAGTTTTGTTTTTCTCCTTTAAGTTGGTCTGATCGAGGTAGCTGACTGTGCCTCAACTCTAGCGTCTACCACGTGGCAGGGACCTGTGAAACAGCTGCGAAGCCACAGAAGGTGTTCAATTCTGACAGGGACGAGTGAGGCAGTGAGCGTCTGAGCGTCCCCAGGGTGAGTACTCAGGAGTCCAGGTGGCTCTCACTCCTCTAGGCTGCAAACACCCGGGAAGTGGCTGTTACACCCTTTTGTCTGGGTTTGATCAAAACGTACTCAGACCATAAGAGAGGGTAACTGGCCCTCCTCCTCACCTACTCTGGCCCCGAGGATAAGGTTGAGATATCCCCCCTCTAAAACTGAAGTCAGTATGTAATGAAGAGTCTCTCCTGCTTCAGCCCAAGCTGGGCTCCCTCAGACAGGCTCAGGCATCTCTGGGATGATTATTCTAAGGATCTGATTGAATGAGAAATAGGGGAGGAGCTGAGGAGAGCCATGGGAGGGGATAGTGTATTAGTTATCTACTGCTGTGTAACAAATGAACCCCAAACCCAGCAGCTAAAACAGCAAACATGTATTTCACATCGTCCTGTGGGTTGGGAATCTGGGAGCAATTTTTGCCCGGTGGTTGTGGCTCAGGGCCTCTCAGGAGTCACAGGGAGGCTGTCAGCTGTGGCTGCAGTTGACTGAGGCTGAAGCTTCTGTTTCTAAGCTCACTCATGCCATCATGGCAGGAGGCTTTAGTTCACTGCCATGCTGGCCTCTCCACAAGACTGTGTAGGACCTGGCAGCTGGCTTCTCCCAGAGGGAGTACCCAAGAAAGCGAGAGGGCCACCCAGCACAGAAGCTGCAGTGTCTGACTTCCTCTTGAAAGTGACATACCATCGCTCTGCCTTATCCCATTGGACACAGAGACCAACTCTGGTAAATACGGGAGGGGACTACGCAGGGTGGGAATACCAGGAGGCAGAGACCACAGGGGCCGTCATGGAGCCTGGCTGCCAGGGATGGGATGTGATCTGACGGGAAAATACCTCGGATGAGGGCCACCCTCAATCTCCTGCCAACACCCATGCCAGGGCACCCTGTGAGATGGGAGTAGAGAAAGTGAAAACACTGAGAGTGACACTTCGCTGGGCTACAGCAGCTTCGCAGAAATATCCTAATCCCTGTTGCCTTCTTTCCATGCCATCTAGCAACCTTGAACCTCGTCACCACATCCATTCCCTCTCGAGGCGGGAAGTGAGTGCCCAAGTTCGAGTTAGTTGTGGTTTTGGGGGGCTCGGAATACTTTTTTCCTGCACACGAATGAACAAGTGTCTTGGATTGCCATAAAATTCTGAATTTGGGTACCGGAGCCTCAATCCCGCGAAGGAAGCGATACTTGGTTCCTGCACCTCCAGCTGAGGCTCCCTCCAGAGGTACACGTGAGCCTCACTGAGGCGGTGATGAGGGAGGCCAAGTGCTAGGGCAGGGGCCATGTGGTCAGGCTGAGGAAATGGGTCGGGGTGGAGATGGTGCCCACACATTACTGCAAAGGGCACAGGAAGTGATGGTACCAAGACGCCATTGCTGGGCAAAGACTGGCCCGAGGGCCTTGGTCTGGGGCCCCGTATAAGGAAGGGTTCTCCTATTTTCTGCCTGCACCAGCATCTCCACCTCTCAAGCAGATGCCCAGCTTCCTGCCAAGCCTGGTCTCTGCCAAGGACCCCCTCCTTCCAGGCTGCAAGTGGGGTCAGGGCAGCATCAGCTCTAAGAAAGGCGGACGGGGAGCCCCACCCTGGTGAGAGTCACGCGGTGCCCCACTGGACGTGGATGCCACCTGTCTGACCGCGGAGCACACAGCCAGGGCCAGCCTCCTACGGGTGCTGCTGGGTCAGGCTCCCTTCGGCTCATCAGCCTGGCATTCAGTCCAGGCATGTACAAATGCAGCATGTTAAAAACACTTAGGCTGATAGCTGCCAACATCTTTTTGCTGCATGAAATGAACCAGATTTGACCTGAGAAAGTCAACACTGATATTTCAGTGAAGCTTCCAACCAGGACCTCACCCACTAACAGGCTGAGTCCACTCCATCGCCCCTCCCCTTCCAGGCGTGGCCGACCGCTGCGTACAGAAGAGGGGTCACTGACCCATCACAGTCCACCTCACTGTGCCATCTGCGGCGCTGACAGCCCACACGGGAAGTCTGACGTTGGGCCTTCTACTTTTCACGTCCCCCAGTCCAGACAGAAGTCCTCACCCGAGTCTGCAGATGCTGCTGCTTAGGGTGAGTGTCAGGAAACACGGGTATGCTGAGTGCTGAAGCCTCTCCACTGCCCCTGGCAAACATGCTCCCAGCCATTCCCAAACTCCTGCTGTAAGTCCCCTCTGCATAGCTGTCTCCCGTCACCCCTCACCTGCATTCTGACTCAGTGTGGGCACTAGGAAGACGGCGAGTCAGAAATGCCCGAAGCACTCATGTTGAAAGGAACTGGAGATTTCAGAGCAGAGAGAGAGAGAGAGAGAATGTGCGTCAATGCATGTGATTTTACTGACCGGCAAGGAGCCGGCTGCATGAGGAAGAGTGGCGCTGGCTGCATGGCCTGTTGTCACGTTTTGGCTGAAAAGGCAAACGCTCCCACGCTGCGGATGAGAAAGACGCGGCTCCCCAGGCCGCAAGCACAGATCCTAGGCTTCCTCCCAGGTGCTCTGAGATTCTCGACCCTGCACCTAGGACCACAGTGTCACCTCACAGCATCACCGTCACCTGCTGTCTTTGGAGTTCTGCTCTAAGGAGCTTCCTCGGTGTCTTAGAGGATCAATTGCTTTTCTCCTTTTTCCGCAGCTGTATATTCAAAAAGGCTCTCGTTCTGAACCTGTTCTCAGCTGTCTCCAGGTTGATGCTCAGAAACATTCTGTAAATCTGAACTCTGCCAGCAAGCAGCTTGCCTTCCTCTGGCTTTCACTAAGCCAGTGACCACTATGCTGCTTGAATTTATTCAGACAGAACCAGGATGTGCCTGAGAAGCCAATGAACAGGAGAGGGCTGGCAGAGCAAGCCACGGTGCCCTCAGGGCTTGGTGAGGGGCAGTTAGTCACAAAAGTTTTTGTGCAGCGCTGTGTGAACTGAACCTGGTATCCGGGGAGCCCAGTTCACTACAGGTGCAAATCACAACTCACAAGACAGGCCCGTCAGTCAGTAGTGCCAACTCAGCACCAAGACAAAGGAAGACACAGTGATGTTTAGAATCAGACACTGCTGATACAGTCTGCTACTCACGACATTTAAAGCGCTTCCCACCAGCAGGACAGGGCATGAGAAATACACAGGAAAGAAACATGAGCAAACTCTTAGGACTACGCTGCCAACCAAGCGACCAGCCCATCAGTGAATCAGCCACTAGCACTCACCAGCAACCTGCAGCAGCCCCGTGCTGGGCACCAAGCTGCTTGGGTGAAGTGCAGAACAGGCCTTGCTCATGTCCCGGCAGGGCAAGGGCTGGGTGATCCCAGAACCACGAGGCTTCCCAGAGGGGGCTTCTCCTCAGGCAGACGCTCCCTCCAGAACTTTTCTGCTGCTGAGCCTCCCTGTGGTGGGAATGCATTTAATTCAGAGCAAGGTGTTCACCTGACTGTCAGACTTCCCCATCCAGTCCAAGAAGAGAAAAGCAAGGGAAAAATCCAAGGAAGTAACACACCAGGATGAGGGTGAAATGCAAGGGACCAGAGGACGAAAATAGAATTTTCATCATGTATAATGGATGATGGGGAGGGCTGTGGGCGGATCAGGACTGGGGGCTCGGGGTGGGGGCTCAGCTGGTGCAATTACAGCATAAGCTCTATCACCGACGGACGTCCTTAGCAGCCTGCATGCATGCTGGCCAGGACAGACATTCACTCCCCACCTGGACTGGCTGCTCTCACTCTAATTCTGGGCTCTAGACTATTCACAGTTTCAGGTTGCTGACCATAGAGGGGCTGGCAAGGAACTGCAGAGGGAGCAATGGAAATCCATCAGTAAAAGCAACACGGGTTCTCTCCCCACATCACTTTGTTGGTCCAGAGCCTACAATGACGCCCCACTGCCAGCTACAATAGTATGGGGTGTATTCTACTCATCTTTTAGACATGGAGTCTTGCTCTGTCACCCAGGCTAGACTGAAGTGGCATAATCTCAGCACACTGCAACCTCCACCTTCCACGTTCTAGCAATTCTGCCTCAACCTCCCAAGTTGCTGGGACTACGGGCACATACCACCACACCTGGCCAATTGTTTGTATTTTAGTAGAGACGGGGTTTCACTGTGTTGTCCAGGCTGGCCTCGAACTCCAAGCTCAGGCAATCCACCCACCTCCTACAGTGTTAGAATTACATGCCTGGCTACGATAATATAGTATATATTCTTATCCTAGTTCCATGGAACTATGTGGAATATAGAATGATGTGCACTGTTCTTGCGGTTTGCAGATGTTCCAGGTGTAACTGCATCTGGGTTTACGTTTTCTCGCCTCTTGCTACACTTGGGAATATCCCCTCTGTGAGTTACTCACTGTGCTGCCCACAGGCCAGGCTCTTGCTGCCCGGAGGTGGTGCTCCCGTTCCTGCCTCAGCCTGCAAGGCCTGCACCCTCGCCGCCTGTCCCGACGCAAGCACCCTCCATGACCAAACTCAGCCCCGAGGTTCTCTGCAGCCCGTGACTTGCAGGATCCTGCTTTGTCTCAACGCCTTCTCCACCTGGGCCTTCACTACGCCACTCAGCACTGGGCAGTCACTCAGCTCACTGTCTATTCCACGCTTTTCATCCTTTCTCTCCAAGGAGATGACAAACTTCTTACAGCGGCCTTGTCTTCTATGGCGGCTGCCTCCACCTCCACCCACACACCTGAGCCTTCCAAATCGCCAAGCTCTAAGAGCACAGAAGATACCTGATCAGTGTTTAACAACTGAAAATAAATCCCACTGACTACAGATGGCTTTAAGGAAAAGATATCACATGACCATCAGTATTACTTGAATTATCTGCACAGCCTCACGTGATGTGGGCAGCAGAGACCATGGCTGTTACCTGCCAATCTTCTCCTTTCCTTGCACGAGAAAACTGAAGCTCAGAGAGGGTAGTCATCCCCAAAAGGTCACACAGCTCAAGCTTCCAAGTCTCCTGCTTTCTAACTTAATTCGCTGCTCCCTGCCATGGCCGATGGAAGAAGCCCAAGCCGGTGCGCTCCCCAACAGCATGGAGCTCCAGGAATAAAATAGCAAACCATCGCCATGCTTGTCGTTTCTGCTGTTGCATGGACTACAACGGAATCGGAGAGCTCAAGGTTATTTTCCCAGTAATTCTCATTCATTTTTACTACGGAAATAACAAAAACATTAAAATTTCCCAACTCAAAAGCCATCTCAGATAAAAGATGTCTCCTCTCCAGCTCCAAACATCTCTCGTCATTGTAAACTCTGGCCATCTAGTGAGGGATTTCCTTGGAGGAGCTTTATAGCATCTCTTAAAGACGCTGCTTTTGATTTATGCTCATCATGTCTGACAGCCACCATTTCTCTTAATAATAATCATAAATAAGCAAGACAAGGTCACCTGACCTGAACCAAGCGCATCTCCACTGCCACATCCATCACGGAGCGCTGGACCTACAGCAGTCGGTCACGAAGGCCTCCTGCTCTCCGTGCGCCACGTGAGGTCCCTACGCTGGCCTTTTCATTTGACACCTTACCCAACCAGAGACTCCTAGAGGACCACATGTATGAAAGCACTTCGCCCAGAGCAAGGACACGCGCAGAGCCTGCTGCCTGCCCACCGAGCAGTCACTTCACACGTTGGGTTTTTCACCATTTTTCTTCCCCTTTACTCCAGTGTAACCACCGAACCAAAAAATGAAAAGTCTTGGAAAAAAAAACCCACAACTCTGAAAGGCATCAAAATAATGAAATGGATTGGTAGACTAAGGCACTAAGTTGGAGTGCATGAAAGCACTCTGTGACACGGAGATACACGTGACCAGCAGCGAACGCCACACCGTCATCTGGACTCTGAGGACTGAGGCTGCATAGATGCTAAGAACAAGTGTTCTTTAACCAGGTACTGGGAAGCCCAGCAGATTTTTTCCTGCTTGTTATTTTTACTATTATCAATACATTTCAATGCCCTGGGCGCCGGCCATAAGACACAGCAGCTGCTATGTTACACGGAATGGCTTTTCGACTTGCCTTCAATGGCGTTCTGCGCTAAGGTCTGTTGCTGAGACTGAGGGGTGAAGTGAAACAGAGTCAAAGTCTATCAAAGACTGAAGCATACCGCACCTGGGAAATAAAGCCGTGAAGGTCCTGACAGCCACGATGATCCCTACCACGCTCAGAGCGTCACACCCCCAGAGCTAAGTTCTGCGGACGGGGCTGTCTATATCGCAAAACCACATCTGCTTAACTACACGATCCCTGGAGATGGGTTTCTTTGATTTTAGGAAGACGAATGGTTTACAATGTGCACTTGGCCACAGCCCTTACATTTGTGTTGGAACATTCCAGAGTTTGTGCTGGCCTGTGATGGGAGAACAGGAAAAAGCAGGCCTGTGACTGAGAGAACAAACCTGTGGGCTGCAGCAGTGGCAAAGGGAGGCTCCACATCTGTGTCTCACCCCATCCTTTACTTCCCAGCGTGCTGCAGGCACCAACCTCCCCCCGCCCCGCCGCCTGCCTACTGCAGGGCTCTGCCTACCAGGGCTTGTGGCTAGCTTCCATTGTTCTTGGTACTTCTTGCCTCTGTCTGTCTTTTTCTCCCCTTACCATCTTTTCATTCACCTATCCCGTGACTTCCAGGGCCACCAGCTCTGACCTGGGTCCTCTTCTCCTTGCCCATCACAACTTAACAGTCACGTGCCACCCAAAACTCCAATTAACAAGTCAATGGGCTTTCCACATTCTGGAGCATGTGCCTTTTGATAGGAGATTCTTAAAATGGCAAAGGCCACCTGGGCGTGGTGGCTCATGCCTGTAATCCCAGCATTTTGGGAGGCTGAAACGGGCAGATCACTTGAGGTCAGGAGTTCGAGACCAGCCTGGCCAACATGGGGAAAGCTCGTCTCTACTAAAAATACAAAAATTAGCCAGGCTTGGTGGCACACGCCTGGAATCCCAACTACTCGTGAGGCTAAGGAGAATCGCTTGAACTTGGGAGGTGGAGCTTGCAGTGAGATAAGATCACACCATTGCACTCCAGCCTGGGCGACAGAGTACGACTCCATCTCAAAAACAAAATAAAGAAAACGAGAAATGGCAAAGACTTTCTCCAAAATCGTGCATTTCAGGCACATGGTTTGTTGGGGGGAATAGGGGGCAGGGCAGGCCCTGTGGCAGGTGTGCATATGTGACTGTCCACAAGTATGTTTGGGGTGGGGGTGGAGAAAGGGCCTCACCCACTGTGCTTCCAATGAGACAAACCGCAGGATCCCACATCCCTGACAGGCCGCCAGAGGCTCGCAGGCCAGCACCAGCCTCATTCGAGGGGCTTCTGTAGCCACCAGGCCATGAGGGTGGTCTCCCTCACCAGATCCCTCCACAGGCTCCGAACTGTCCACAGGACTCTTGGTCGTCGAGCAGAGGGGCACGGGGTGAGGTAACGGAGGTGGGCGAGCCGGTCTTCCCCCACAGCGGGCAGGCGAGGGTCATGCTGCTATCTGCGCCCCGCCCCGCCTTTCCACCGTGCTGAGCACCAAGGGATTCCCAGCCTTAAGGCTGAGGAGGGCACAGAAGGGCAGTTTCTCACAGAGACACGCTCCACGCGATGTCCCCAAGGAGCCCGCGTGAAAGGAAAGGCCAGGCCTGGATCCCACTGGACGCCCCGTCACCACGGGGCATGGGCCAGCGTGACAGAGCGTTCGGGCAGCTCGCCCGCCCACGGCCCTGCCCACGGCCCGTGCCCTCCTGTCCACGGCCCTGCCCGCCCACGACGCTCCCCGCCCACGGCCCGGGCCCTGCCCGCCCACGGCCCTGCCCACAGCCCTGCCCGCTGCCTACCTGAACTGGGCCGCTTCTTCGGGGTTTTGAGGCTGCGGCAGCGCCCGCCCGCGGAGCCGCTGTGCTCGCTGGTGGAGTCCTGCGCCGAGGACGCGCTCCCGGTGGCCTCGCTGTCCCGCATCATGCTCTCGTAGCCGCTGCTGCCGCCGCTGTGGTAGAACAGGGCCGTCTTCCCCATGGCCGGCGGGAGCTCCCCGCTCAGCACGCTGCTGTTGTCGCTGCCGTGGCCGCTGCTGCAGCGGTGCGGCCTCCGCGGGGCCGTGATCTTGCTGTAGGGCGACGGCAGCGGCGGCGCCGGCCTGTCCTCGGGCCGCTCCCCCGCCGGGGCCCCGCGCGCGCCGCCCTGCAGCAGCTCCGAGATGCGCCCGTGGACGGCGCGCAGGGGCAGCTTGGAGGCCAGGCCTGCGCTGCGGGTCCTGCTGAGCGACTGCGTGGACCAGGACAGGGGCTTCCCGCCCGCGGGCGCGCCGGGGCTCTGGCCCACCGACTGCGGCAGAGACTTGGTGGAGAAGCTGAGGGTTCGGGTGGCGGAGGCGGACAGGCTGCGCGCCTTGGGGCTGGCCAGGAGGAGTTTGCTCACGGCGGAGACCTTGGCCTGGCTGGCCTTGGGCGAGTCCCCGGCCGAGGAGCTGGGGGGCGAGGTCCCCGCGCCGCGGCCCAGGGTCCTCCCCGCGCGGGGCATGGTGCTGTCCTTGCCCGCGTGCAGCCGGGAGCTCACGGAGGACAGGCTCTCGGCCCGCTCAAGGGAGAGGCATTCGTAGTGGCTGACTGTCGACCTGCCCAGAGAGTTGGTCCTGCTGGCCAGCTGCTCCAGCTTGGCACTGAAGAGCTTGCTGCTGCTGCTGCTGCTGGCGTCCTTCATCTTGCCGCTGGACTCATCTGGGAGGCCTGCCAGGAAGGCGGCTGGCTGGTTCAGGGGGCTGCTGGTGCCGCTGCTGCTGGCGCTGTGCTGGGGACTGGCCCGGTTCTTCTGGTCCAGGCTGGACTTTCGGACAGGGGGCAGAGGGGGAGTCCCTTTGGGCCGAGCCAGGACACAGTGCTTGGGGGAAGCCACCTTCCTCTCCAGGGTACCCTTGGAGGACTGGGTGCCCGAGGCTGCGCCCACCCCGTTGGTCTCAGCAGCACAGTAATAGAAGAGGCTGTCCTGCTCCTCCTGCCGGCTGGCCTTCTGAAATGCCCTAGGAAGGCTGCTGGACTTGACACTTCTGTTGGCATGCACGGGGCTCTGGGTGGCCAAACCAGGCAGGGCCATCTCACACCCATCCACAACCCTCCTGAAGCTGTCGGCGACCTCCCCGCTGCTGCTGCTGAGCCTGTCCTCCGGGCTGGGCTTTCTGTCCTGCTCCTGCTCTGCCCTGGGCTCGGCCTTCGAGGGACCCGTGGCGCGCTCACACCTGATCCCATCTTCACTGGGACGCGCGTTCTCTTTTTTCACTTCCTCTTCTCGTCTCAGCCAGGGGTCCTCAAACTTCATCTCTTTCTTTGCACTGTTTTCCTTACTCTCCTGGGACTGGGCTGACGTGGGGCCTGCTTTGGGGGTGGCAGTGGCGGCCTCGGGCTCTTGGATGCTCTGGGGGCTCATGGCGAGGCAGGGGTAAACGGTGATATTGGTCTTCATGGGCATGTACCCCTCGCAGCTGCTGAGATTCGCCGTGTTGGAGATGGTGACCATGGCCTTGCCCAGGGTGGATATTTTGCAGCCTTTGATGGGGGTTGCTTTGTTGAAAGAGTCATCCCCCATCTCAGACAGGATAAGCAAGTTGTCGGGGCCGGCACTGGGCTTTGCTCTGCACACCACAGCCGCGTTCTGGATGCCGCTGACAAACTCGGAGGCCGCGGGTTCCGCCATTGCCTCCCCATGCCCAAAACACGTCTGGGCTATGAAACTGTGGCACGACTGCTCGCCTTCACTGCCCGCGCTCATCTCGCTCAGCCAGGAGCTGATGGAAGAGCGTCTGCTCCCTGCCTCCTGGGCCTTCTCATCCAGGCTGATCTTTGGGAGGGGCAAGAACTGTGTGATGCTGACCTCAGAGACCGGGGCCATGCCGGAGTAGCACTCCAGGTCCTCGCTCATGCTGCTGATGATGCTGACGGGCCGTGAGCCCGAGGCCAGGGCCTGCACGGAGCAGTCGCTGTTGAAGCTGATGATGCTGGTGGGGCGGCCGCTGTCCAGGACCCCGCTGATGGTCAGCTCCTCCACCAGCGTGAACACCAGCTCGTCCTCACCATTCAGCTCCAGCGGCTGCTGCACGGTCACCATCGTGGTGCTCAGGATCTCCTTCTTGGAATCTGGAGGAGTCACTGCTTCAGGCTCATCATCCACAGGAGCTTCTGGGAACCCTTTGCTTCCAGCGGACATGGACCTTTTCAAAATCTGGGGGCTCATTCCGACCGGGGGTGTACGCACCTCGGGCTGCAGCAAGGACTCACTACACACCATGCTGGAATCCTTGCTCAACGGAGGCAGGGGGGCGGGAGACGGCAGGACCCCCTTCTGGGTGTAGACTTTGCACCTCTGGGAAGGAGAGCTGGGTGGCTTGTACTCTGAGGTCTTGGACAGGCTGGCGATGCCCAGCCGGGGGGAGCCCATGGGCCTGGGCTTACCTTCCATGAAGCCGCAGGAGTTCAGGCTCTCCCGGCTGCTCTGCAGGCTGGGGCTCTGCACGAGTGGGGAGGCGCTGTGCTGGCTGCTGCCCGGGATGCTCCTGGGCGAGGCTGGGCTGGGGCTGTGGGCGGGTGCTGAGGCGGGCACGGGTGAGTGACTCCTCTGCATCTTGGAGGCCTGGTTTTCAGGGTCTTCTCTGTCGGTCAGCTGACCTTCGGACCCATTATCTTCCCTATCAGATTCAGAGAGTGGGCTTGCCCCAGCTGCTTGGCTTAACGGCAGGGCTCTGCTGGCCGGCTCTGCTGCAAACTGAGCAGGCAGTTCTTCAAAGGGAAACTTGCTGGGCTCCTCACTGCCGTCGATGCAGTCCAGCCTCTCCTGCAGCTCGGCGAATGTGTTGCACTTCAGGCAGTCCCTTTCTGACTTGCTGGCTGCAGCCTCTCCTGCCTCTGTGGGCCGGCTGTCGCCCCGGGTCTTCTGCAGGGCTGGCACGATAGGGACAAAGTCGGGGGGGCCCTCGTTGTCCGTGAGCTCCTTGTCTGACAGGGCTGCGCCGTTGGGCCCAATGTAGATAACAGTGTCACAGGACTGCTCGCTGCTGGAGGAGTAGTCGGGGTCACTGGACAGGTGGGCGATGGGGAAGTCCGGGTCCCCTGTGGCCCTGCTGTGGAAGGGTCTCAGCTGGGTGGGCCTGCGCATGCGGCCTTCTTCACAGGAGCTCTCGCCCCCAGAGGAGCTGGACGTGTACTGTGAGGGAGAGAGCCGTTAATGCAGTGACTCTTCCAAGGCAGTTTCCCTGGGAGCCCAGCTTTGTGTGGCAAGTGGTGGAGGGCCCGGACGGACACAGGCTACTGATGGCCATCCTGGTTGGCCTCTGCATATGGGCTACTCGGGTGCCACGCCAGCGCACCCAGTCTCACGTCACCGCTGCATTAGTGAAGGAGAATCCCTGCGGGGCACAGGGAAACAGAGGCTGCCGGGGAAAGGAGGTGACCCTCCAGGCCCTGCCTGACCCACTAAGGCCTCCAGGGTCACCAACTTCTGGCAGCCTGTACCTTGGAACACTGGTTAGGAAGCACTATGGAAAGATAAAAAAGGTACAAAACGTGGAAGGGAAAAAAAGGCCCACACGTCAGCAGCTGCCCCCGCCTCTGAGTGGCCACGATCATGACGGTTTCCTCCAACACCTGCCACACTACCACCGTCCTGGCTTTGCCTCTGCCTGAGAAAATGTGCCCCGTGATTTCTAGCAGACTCAGTAATCATCCAGAAACCACTGAATGACCAGAACAACACCAGCAGCCAGGCAAAGACTCCTGGACATGCAGACGGGGAGGAGGGCCCTGTGAGCAGGGAGTTCGGGGTCGTCTTTGGAGCCAGTCCCTTGAAGGACACAGTCTCCATCTGCAGAGGGCCGAGGCAGTGCATGAGACAGACAGAAGATTTCCCACCCCTCCCACGTGTTTCATCTCAAAGTCGCAATCCATTTACACTCTCGAGTGGACCGAGTGCTTCCACTCAGGGGTCTAGGCTGGGTGACCAGGGCCAGCACCAGGTATAGGGACGAGACATGACTTTCCATCAGCCCAAAGGCTTCCCTGCCCCAAGGTGGACACCAAGCCACATGTCCTGATGCTGAGGGACTGGCAGTGTTGACTTGGCTGCTTCTGACTGAGTCCTGGGGCAGGGCCCCAAAGGCTCTCTCGCCCACCACACCCCCTGCGAGCTCCTTACCTTTGTCTTCTTCTTCTTCATCCTCAAGACTCTCGACGCGATCTGGATGGTGGACAGGGTCTCGGCGTAGTTCCCGGCCGCGGCCGAGATGTGTGCGATCATGGTGGTGCGGCAGTTCATGTTCCCCAGAGACTCCCGCAGCAGCATGGCGAGCTTGCTCTCTCTGCCAAACAAAGTGAATCAGGCTGCATTAGTGCCCGTGTCTCCCCGCGTCTGTCAGGGCGGGGCTTCAGGCCTGTCCACGGCCATTTTGTGGCCCCCCCCTTTTTAATGGCATGCTAATCAGCATCATTTTCCAGCATGGGGCTATTTGTAGTTGGCAGGCGCCAAGCAAGTGCTTCTAGCTCCAAGATGGAATTCGTGCAGAGCATGTCCCTTGGCACCTCCGTCCTGGCTGCGATGGGGTGTGCCCGTGCGTGTGTGTCTATGACATGACACATAATGAGGCCTGGGAATAGAAGCGAGAGGAGGGGTCAGGAGAGATGGCCTGTGCTGTGACTCGGCATGCTCACTGCACATGCGACCCGCTCCGGGAATTTCCGCACACAGGCAATCCTTGCCATGAACTTGGACTGAAGATCTGTGTGTTTCTAATAGCTGCAAAGTTCCTTCAGCCAGGAAGCTGCCGCTACTTCAGTGGCAGTGCCCTCTAACTCACATATTTGCACCGAGTAGCAGCGAAGGAAAAGGCATTCACATTCCTAAAGATCAGGGAGAAACACGGAGAGAGGCCCCGGCAGTCACCCGACCGGCAACGGAAAGCAGACTTCCTGTAGAAAGGCCTCCTCCGGGGACCCTGAGTGGCGATGAGGAGGCCCACGGGTCTGCAGGGAGCGTTTCTAGGTCTTTGAACTGCCCTGGAGGAATGGCTGCTTTTCTATTCCTGCACTAGTCCCAGCATTTTTCCTGCCTTGCATTTAAAGGCCTCTGCTTCGTTCCCCAGCAGCAATTGGACTCTCAGCTACCACCAGATGTCCCTGCATCTGTGGCGTGTTCCCTGATCTAAAGGCTGAGGTCACCTATGTCCCAAGCCACGCTGCTATCTCTAGGCTGTGTCTGCAATGCCAGAGGAGAGGAATTTGTCCCCATGTCCATGCCTTGTCATCCATCTGCTGCAAAGCTCCCTGGAGAGGACCAGCCAGCTCAGCAGACAGTGTGGGACACTCAGGCCACTGTCAGCAGAGAGCAGACCATTTCACACATGACCTGCGTCTGGCCTCGGGCACGGAAGGCTGTGGTAAGGGCAATAGCTTTTCCTTCCCATCTGGGACCAATTAAGGTGTAAGTTTGGAGATGCTGGGCTCACTATGATTCAGTCCCAGAGCAATTTATGAATATCCCAGGGCTTCCCTTCAAGCAAAATGACCAGTGATGAAAGTGGTGAGGTTGGCCGGGCCCGGTGGCTCACGCCTGTAATCCCAGCACCTTGGGAGGCGGGGATGGGTGGATAACGAGGTCAGGAGTTTGAGACCAGCCTGGCCAGCATGGTGAAACCCCATCTCTACTAAAAATACAAAAAATTAGCCAGGCATGGTGGCGCACATCTGTAGTCCCAGCTACTCAGGAGGCTGAGGCAGAGAATCACTTGAACACAGGAGCTGAGGTTGCAGTGAGCCGAGATCACACCACTGCACTCCAACCTGAGTGATAGAGTGAGACTCTGTCTCAAAAAAAAAAAGAGAAAGTGGTGAGGTAAAGGGTACAGAGGAGAAGGAGCCGGAGCCGTGAACATTTAACTCCCTTCAAAACGCATCTAATCCAGCAGAAATTCATGGACACCAGCACTTGACGAGGAAGCCGGGTCCCATTCCTGGCACACATTCTTAGCAGAGACACCACACCTGGATGTGTCTTGGGCTCTGTCTTCAGTGTGGGAGGTGGAGGATGAGTCCTGTTCAGATAGGCTGTGATCATATATAGTCAGCTCTTGTTACGCATGGTAGTTGTGCTCTATGTTTGTGAACAGTGAATTTGTAAATACTGGGCCATTGTTCTTAGGGGAGATAAAGTTTGGTGCAAAAGTAATTACAGTTTTTGCCATTTTAGTTACTTTTCTTTTCCTTCCTGAGACAGAGTCTTGCTCTATCGCCCAGGCTGGAGTGCAGTGGCGCGATCTTGGCTCACTGCAACCTTCACCTCCTGGGTTCAGGCGATTCTTCTGCCTCAGCCTCCCAAGTAGCTGGGATTATAGGCACCCACCACCACACGTGGCTCATTTTTGTATTTTAGTAGAGACAGGGTTTCACCATGTTGGTGTCAGGCTGGTCTCGAACTCCTGTCCTCAGGTGATCCACGCTCCTCGGCCTCCCAAAGTGTTGGAATTACAGGTGTGAGCCACCACACCTGGCCCATTTCAATTACTTTTGCACCAGCCTAATAGATGGTTTAGGTTTCTGTGAACCTCTGATGACAAAAGTTTTTTCCATTGGTCAATACATAACCTTGTTAGTGAGATGCTCTATTTAATATTTTCTTCAAAATAATGAATTATATTCAGTATTTCTTTAAAATACTGGCCAAGAAGCGTTTGATACCTTCCTGCCCTTGGGTAACACGGCTGTAAATTTCTTTGGCTTCCAGCCTTACAACAATGCTGGCGATGACATTAAACTCTCTCGTCATCTATGGAGTCCACAAATTCTGCTATTTTTCATCTCTTCTGTGGCTCCACCGTGTACTCTGTTACCTTAGCACTTTCCAGAGTGGCCCCACATATGGACTGGCCGAAGGCACAGGCCCCTGTATCCCCATGTGACCCTGTGTAAGTCCCCAAGAAAACACAGCAAAGGCAGGATAAAGAGCTGTACCACTGTGATATCAACCTGGTTGCCTGTGTCCTTCCTCTTCCTTTTTCTAGGTGTGCTGTATTCTTGATTTGTTCACACTGGATTCCCGTGAGCGCTGCAGCTCATGCCTGAAAGCAGCTTATCTAAAACGTGTATCTTCTCTGGAAGGCACATTCCAGCCTTCTTGTGCTTAGGGAGCCTGAATAGGACATCAGCACCATTCTTAGGGCCACTTACAGCAAAATCACCATCAGAAAGCACAAAAATATGAAAAAAAAAACAAAAACAAAAACAAAAAAAAACAGTGCTAAAGAGACTGCAAAAAGGACACGTGCACGGCAGGAGAGCCGGCAGTGAAGGCAGAGCTCTGCACGGGGCGGGGAACGCATGCATCCGGCGACGCAACATCGTCACCCCTCCGCCCGTGTCCGAAAATGACTGTGAAACCAGTGCATTGGTTTCAGGGTCACAAATATATGTCAGTGAGTAGGTGAATTCGCAAATACAGAATCTGCAAATGATGAGGACTGACTGTTAGCCCACTGCACACCGCTGAAGGCACAGCCCCTGAGTCTCCACGTGACATTCTCCAGGAAGCCATACCAAAGGCAAAATTCAGACAGAACATGGTGATATCGAAATGTCTGCCCGTGCATTTCCGCACTCCCCACTCATGACTCCATCATGTGGTAAAATGTCCACAGCTATTTTTTCAAGGCCGCATTGTGGAAAGCAGCAGCCGCCTGTGTGTTGCTTAGCAACCTCGCTCTCCCTGCGGAAGGCGGCCAGTGGAGCTGCTGGAAGCACTTCACGTGGGCCTCTGTGGACTGTAAGAGAGGTCCTCCAGGGAGTGAAAAATGGTGCACAGAAAGCTGCAGCGTTTCCAGCCTCGTGATGAACTTGGAGTGAAGTCAACTAAGGGAGGGAAGGTGGGGGGCAGAAGTGGCAGGTTCTAAAGGCTGCAAACTGTCGGATGAACTCAGAATCTTTGCAGGGAACGGTCAGCACAAACTTAGCCCGTCTTTTGCATCAGGACTGAAGTGAGAGCAAGAGAAGGGACGAAGAAGAGCACAGGGCTGCTGGCCACCTGCACCCCAGAGCCGGCAGTAGGGATGGAGGGAGGTGGTACCTGGAGGGGGGTTGGGTGGGGTGCCCTGGCTATGGAGGACAGGTTGGCCAGGCACAGGAGGAGACTGGGGACATAGCAGAGCTGACTGGGCCTGAGGAAGGCACACACTGCTCTTTCAGGCAGCCGTGTTTGCACACACATTCCACTGCCCACCTACCCTGACCACGCATGCCTTAAGATATTTTAGGCCAGGTGCAGTGGCTCACGCTTTGCTGGGCCAAGGCCGACAGATCACCTGAGGTTGGGAGTTTGAGACCAGCCTGGCCAATATGGCGAAATCCCATCTCTACTAAAAATACAAAAATTAGCCAGCCTGTGGTAGCAGGCACCTATAATCCCAGCTACTAAGGAGGCTGAGGCAGGAGAATTGCTTGAGCCCTGGAGGTGGAGGTTGCAGGGAGCCAAAATTGCGCCACTGCACTTTGGGCGACAAAGGGACACCCTGTGTCAGAAAAAAAAAGACTTTTAGAAAAACGTCTTTTTAAAATCAGTCAGTGCTTTCATTGGACATGAAAAAAGGATCAAATGAACAGGATAATGAACATATTTTAATTAGTAATGAGTTGAAGACATGAAGGAGCATGTACCACTCCAGCACAGGGGCTGACCAGCCAGGGCCCTGCAGGTGCCAGCTGCCACACTGCCGCTCTTGTAAATAAAGTTTTATTAAAACAGCCACATCTGTTTGTTTACATAGTATCTGAGGCTACTTTTGTGCTATAATAAGAGTTGAGTGATTCTAACAGAGCCTATGTGGCCCTCATGGCCAAACATACTTGCTACGTGGTCCTTTGTGTAAGAAGTCTGTCGACCCCTGCTCTAGAGTAATGATGAAACACAGTATCATCCCAGACACAGAACCACCAAGCAGAAAATGAAGGTGGGCCTTGATTTCCTGACTACACAATCATCCATTGCTTTGGGCAGTAAAAATGGAAACAGGCACATGAACCATGTGCATGCAGCCAGCCACACACACCGGCATGCTCTTTTACAGAAAAGGGAGAACTTTCTTTTGTTTGTGTTTGTTTTTGTTTTGAGACGGATCTTGCTCTGTTGCCCAGGCTGGAGTGCAGTGGCACGATCTTGGCTCATTGCAACCTCCGCCTGCTGGGTTCAAGCAATTCTCCTGTCTCAGCCTCCCGATTACCTGGGACTACAGGCATGCACCACCACACCCGGCTACTATGTTGTATTTTTAGTAGAGACAGGGTTTCACCACGTTAACCAGAATGGTCTTGATGATCT